ACAAAGATCAAAGTTGTGATTGGCAGGACATGCTATTTTTTTACTTCATTTAACATTGAAGTGTTTTGAGTTTTAATATCAGTGCTGTTAGTTAACAGTTTCATGTCTTTAACCATCAGTTCGACTGATTATGTGGTGCGGCCCAGCACTGGAGATGAAAGACAAGTGTTTCAAGTCCAGGTTTGTTCTTTCCTCTGGAATAACTGTTTCATACCGTTTGGTCTCTTTTACCAGGACACGAACTCTTTACAACAACACACTGTTTTTGTGTTTATTAGGAGCAGCAGCGATACAACCAGCCACATAAAGCCTTCACCTTTAGGATGCATGGCTTTGAATCTGTGGTGGGGCCTGTTAAAGGAGTGTTCGATAAAGAGATGTCTCTCAACAAAGCCAGGGAGCACACGCTGCTCCGCTCTGACCGACCGCCATACGTCACCATTCTCTCTCTGGGTTAGACCGGCGGTTTCACTCAGACTACACAAATCAGTTTTTGCAAAAGGAAAGCAATTACATACTTCTTTTTCCCTCTTCCTCTATTTCCATAGTGCGGGATGCGGCAGCCAGGTTACCCAATGGAGAAGGAACAAGGGCAGAGATCTGTGAACTGTTGAAAGACTCACAGTTTCTTGCTCCAGATGTCACTAGTGCTCAGGTATGATTGATTTGCTTTCAGCTTTGTCAGGCTGTGTTACTACTACTACGGTTTCAGGTGTTGGCATAGATGAGGATTATCACTGATTGCTGAGCTTCTTTTACATTTGTTACCTTCAAGTTGTGGCCTAATAGTGAAATTTCCTGTGAGTGATGATCTTTGTTTTCCACAAAGGTGAACACAGTTGTCAGTGGAGCCCTGGATAGACTTCATTATGAAAAAGATCCTTGTGTGAAATACGACATCGGCCGCAAACTGTGGATTTACCTGCACCGTCATCGCAGTCAAGAGGAGTTTGGTAAGCAACAACTGTAGTTTGTGAGTGGAAGCAAGTCTGAAGAGAAGATGTAAACTATTTCTTACTATCACCTTTTAGCTCTGCTAGACCCACACATTTTTACATTTTTCAAAACGTTAAAGATCAAACCGAATCGAAAAAGTGCTGATTCTTTTTTTCTTTCTTCCCCCCAGAGCGGATCCACCAAGCTCAAGCTGCAGCTGCAAAAGCGAGAAAAGCTCTACAGCAGAAGCCTAAACCAGCATCCAAGCCTGTTAGTCCACTGCACTTTACTGCAGAAAAACAACTAGTTGCATTTCGCAGATCAGATACATATACATTTTCTGAGGAAAGCACATTTTAGTTGCTGATTGTGAATCTCATTGCCCATTTGTGTTTTAGAAGTCTGGAAGTAAAGACGGAGGCAGTAAAACCCCTGGATGTTGGGAGGCGGGACAGGATATGGGCTCCAATCCCATGTCACCAACACCAACTACACCCACCCCAAACACACCTGGAACCCCGAAGTCACCCTTACCCTGCGTGGCCACCACGCCGACAAAAACTGTAGTCCCAGAGACAATAAAAACCAGCCCAGGGTCAGACACAAGATATTTTTGTTCTTATTTATATTGTACAATAAATAAAGTAAATTCATGTTTCATCTAAGCTATTTGAGACTGAATCTTGTGATTTCCTGCTCTCCTTCTCGCTGTCCCAGTGTTCTCCTAGTGTCCCCACCTTCGTTGCCTCAGCTGGGAACCATCTTACCCACCACTAAGGCTGGCCCACCTGTGTCCCAGCCGGTCACGTCCCAACACGCTGCTCGGATTGTGAGTCATCTGGCGGCGGGCTCCCTTCCTCAGGTGCGGGTAGTTTCTACTCAGGCAGGTTTGAGCTCATCAGCAGGAAGTCAGAAGGCCACACTGGTCCATCAGACCCCCCATCAGATCAGGATGCCGCTGTCAGTGGCAGCCAAGGGTATTTCGCAGGTAACGAGAATAACTAAATTAAGTATAAGATGAATATCTGTGTTTGTTTTGTACATTGAAAATGTATAATAAATTATCTTTTCAATAGACTGTGGTGTCTGTGCCTCTGAGGACTCAGTCTGTGAGTAGTCCAGTCCACGTGCCAACCACCCTGTCAGTGTCAGCAGTAACTGTCGCCAAACCTCCGACTGGATCACCTGGAAGCCCGGCCAACAACCCTGCTTCCCCTGCTGTGCTGCAAGGAGTTGCCAGCTCCAACATCAAACAGGTGAAGCATTTTTTTTTGATGGGATATTTGCTCAGTTAGGTCGACTACCAGTTTGTCTCAAAGTACAAGAAGGCTGAAGTTTTGTCTTTTGCTTGTTTTTTCGCAGGTGTCTATCACAGGACAGCTGGGAATGAAGACACCAGGAGGAGCAGGAATTCCAATAACTGCTACAAACTTGCGTATTCAGGGTAAAGATGTGCTACGTCTTCCACCGTCCTCCATCACTACAGACGCCAAAGGCCAGACGGTGCTGCGGATAACCCCAGACATGATGGCGACTCTCGCCAAATCACCAGTTGCAACCGTCAAACTCACCCCTGACTTCCTGGGCACCGCCACCAGCAAGAGCATATCAGCCACTCTGCATGTGACGCCGCCCCACCCTTCCTCTGCCTCCAGCACTGTGTCCTGCACAGGGGAAGTACAGACCACTAAAGCGAGCCACATCACCTCCACCTTGTTGAAGGCAGCAGGAGACACAGCCATACGTCTGATGCCGACACTGGCTGTCACGGCCGACCAAAAAACGAGGACCTTCTCCACCGTGACCTCCCCTGACAAGAGTGGCACCACCATTCGGATAATGCCAGGGCTTGGTGTTATCCCTCAGAAACAGGGTCAGACCATCACAATGACGACCACTACTGGCAGTAAACCAATCACTGTGTCCACTTGTGCTAATGTGGTGACCATGGCTGCCAGCGTTGTAGCTGGTGCGAAGGGGATCACAGTGGCTCCTGGAGCCTCTTGTTCACCTCTGACGTTAGGAACAGCTACGGCCACTGTGCGGCAGGTCCCTGCTACAGTGGTTACTACACAAACGGTAAGAGAATCATTTACTTCCTCTACAGATCCTTTCAGATGAGATATGTTATTCAATCCTGTAATTATGGCTATTGTACAGCAAAAAGTCATCTAAAAGAACCACACTCTTTTGCTATATTTGAAGGTGTTTAGTCAGTGAGCTTAACATTCAAAAAGACTTCCTGGCTGTTTGAAAAATAAAATGATTGAAATGCAAATACTTATTTAGGCTAATGGCGTGTACACACATTTTTTTCAGTACCTTCACCTTTTTAACATGAAAACCTTTAGGATATAACAGTTTGTGTTGTATTTGTATTATTTTCTTCATTGATCTACGTTGTTTTATCATGTTTCCAGTTCTGTGTCACATTCACTCTCCATGTTGCTTTCCTTCCTACATCTGTGGTGTGTAGAACAACAAAATATCAACTTAAAGATCATTAGACTAATGTACAAAGCAGTCAGTGAGTAAACTGCACACATATTACACATACACATATTTTGGAGTACTCTCAGAAAAGATAAGATGATGAGGACTTCTCTATTCTACAAACTAGTTAGTGACATATGACACTGCTTGACTACATGTGGTGCAGACTGAGTGTAGTGTACAATGTAGTTAAAGTGCACTCTGCTGGTCAAACTGTGTGATGACACCATCTCTTACCAAAAGCATATTGTTTTGCATTATTTACTGTGAAAAAAAGTTTTTATACATATGTTTTTATAACATACACACCAGCAGTAGACCAACATTGACAAGCTTGTGTATCATCGGGCTTTAAGCTGACCAATAAACGCTCAGTATTCAAGTACAGCATCTGAAAGCCTCATGACTCAGGAACAATCCTTTTCTTTAACCATAGGGGAAGTTACCTACACGAATCACTGTGCCGATCTCTGTCCTGAACCAACCACTGAAGAGCAAGAGCGTAGTGACCACACCGATTGTAAAAGGAAGCCTGAACGCAAAGTAAGTCTCATAATCCTCTGTTATTTATTTTATTTACTCATGTTAAGACCTTCTCCTGATTGAATGAATAAGAATTTTACAAGTTAAGTTTGTGTTATTTTGAGATTTCCACTTTTATTTAATTAGAATTTTCTGTGAGATTCAATGCTTTGATTGTCAAGATGACAGCTACGTTTCATTGGAATCAGTTTCAGAGCCTCTAACATAAATGCATGTAATTTATGCATCCTCTGTTTTTCCTGACAGAATTTCTCTACAGCTTCTAAGTTGGGCTGGTACACTGACATTTTTTTCATTTCAATTCTCTGAGCAGCCTCAGCAGCCTGGGCAGGAACATCATCCTCACCACGATGCCTGCTGGCACAAAGCTGATTGCAGGAAACAAACCAGTCAGCTTTGTCACAGCACAACAGTTCCAACAGCTTCAGCAGCAAGGACAGGCCACACAGGTTAGTTTAAATGTGGATATACAAGGCCATATATTACACGGCATAATGACTATTACCTATAAGGAAATGCTAAATGGCTTCTTAAACAAACATGGAGCCACCTGGAGTGAACTATCTTTCTTCCTTTAGGTTCGCATCCAGACGGTTCAGGCACAGCAGCTCCAGCAGCACATGGCCACGGGCTCTCCCAAATCAGTTTCCACTGTCGTGGTCACAACAGCACCGACACCCAAATGTGCACCTGATCCCCCACCTGCTCCTCAACAGTGATCCTACCTGAATCGTATGTCCAGTCCATCACGCACATGCCTGTATTTGGTGATTTGACATGACTGTTCTACTTAATAACCTTGTTACAGTATGTCATAAGCCTTTTTTTGGGACAATCTCTAAAAAGGCTGGCAAAAACCTTTCTTTTCTGTAATTGCTATGGGCTTGTGTTCAGACTGAAGTTGTCATTATTCGTCTCCTGAATTATTATTATTCTCCACTTCTCTTTATAATTGTATGCATCTTCGCTTCCTTGTGTTTGTCATTTCATTAAATGTGTGATGAAGTACAATATTGGCATGTGTGAAGTGAGTTGGGCTCATATTTTCTTATTTGACTGTTAATACATCATTAGTTCTCTTACCAGTTGTTGAATAAACCATAATAACAGATAGATTTGTTTGTTTTTTCATAAAAAAAAAATTTAAACAAAAATCTAAATTACACTGTGCAAACAGCAGCTTGAGATACACACAGACCATAAACATAGAAAAGGAAATAAAAATTGAAAGAACCAAAACACAGCCTTCACTCTTCATCAGACTCTTCAAGCAAAGCTTTCTGGCAACTTGTCTCTGAGGATGTGTTTCTCATTCCAATTTCTATGTCTTGTGCCCTTCCTGAGAATCTCTTTACTGTGCTGTTGGAACAAGAGAGGAAAACTTTAGGAAACACATAAACAACAAAGAACATCTGTCTTTCTGCTGCTGTCCTCTCTAACTCAACTTAACTTCCAAAAAGTCGTCTTACAAAGTATCTCGCAGAGAAAGAGAAATATTTGAGAGGTCCAGTATTGACCAGTACTATTGCTGCAGAGCAGGTTTTCATTTGATATGTGCATCTCACAGTGTATGCATGAAGGCACACAATCATGTAAATGTATGATGGTCATGTTATACATGTCAAGACTAACAAGTAAAGGTTGCATGCAGGTTTCAGAACGACACATATCCTTAAGGCAGATTAAACATTTTAAAATTAATTCAACGTGTCGAGTGCGGCGTGTTTTCTGATGAGACTTTTTGAATCTAAAAAATACATGTCAATCATAAAACACTTCAAAAGGTTCAGAGATCAGAATAAATGAGTGTTCAGACTGGAATGGAATGGGAATGTGTTTTTAGCCTAAACCAAAGGTTCCTAAATGTTTTGGGAACTAGATAGTATATTGATTTATTTTAATAAAACAATCAAAACTATAAAATGGGCTAGTGGGCTATTCTCTAGTTGCCATATAAACATCTCTTTTGAATGACTCCCAGCCATCGTGTCACTCTGATAAGTGAAGGGACTTTGAGATGAACCAGTTCTGCCCAGAATATTTGTGACAATCCCTCATTTCCCCTGCACATAAAATAAAATCATTTTACAGTTGAGGCTAATTAGAGTTCATTTTGTGTAATTTACTTGATTCCAAATGTCTTTTAATTAATTTCCCTCTGTATAAACCTATAGCTATGGCAATACGTATGTGGAGGTTCTCAGTCATCCTGGTCATGGTATATCCAAGTGCTAAGAAACAGGTCTACTGGACTTGGTTGAGTTTCTTGTAGACGTTTCACGTCTCATCCAAGAGGCTTCTTCAGTTCTCACTGACTGCTGGGAGGCCCAGGTATTTAACTTGTAGGGTCTTTAGGAGTCGTTGAGGTGACCCGAGACGCTGGACCCACCCTGCTGCTAGTTTCGTTGAGAGTCGTCGACCCACCCGTCCCCTCTGAGTCATGTGTCCTAAGGTGTGAATTGTAGCGAAACTTCCTGAGGATGGAAGTCACGACTATATTGTATGCAGTTTGTACATAAAAGTGAAGAAGCCTCTTGGATGAGAGTCATCAAGAAACTCAACCAAGTCCAGTTGACCTGTTTTTTTGCATTTGGCTCTGGCACATTCTATAACTGACAGTTCCACAGGTAATGTAATGTATGTATGGATACTTACCAACAAACCACACACACTGTGCAGGTGACCAAAACAAGGGCGACAGCTAAATGCCAGCAGAAGCACATTGTGATAAACATGATGTTGTCGTGCAAGGTCAAGTCCCACTCAACTCCGTTTAAAGGATAAAGAACAAATCCAATCTGAAACAACAAACAGTGTTGATAAAGAGCCTTCTGCATGGGATGCTAAAAAAAACTTTTGAATGTGTGACACGTGTTAAATCAGTTAAAAAATATTCTGCAAATGTACACTATCATGTTTGTGGACACATTCACAAATCACATTTTACACATTTCTGTAAATCACCTGGAAGAACCATGAGCCCTGCAGGATGAACAGACACCCCCTGAGCAACTCCAAAATAAAGTTGTCTCTCATGAACACCTCCAACATGGTACTAGCCGATCCACCAAACACAGCCACGAGCAGCAGGGAGTGGATGTGGCTGTCCAGAGGGGGACGACTGTGCACATGGTAATAGAACAGAAACCCTGGAAGATAAGGGGAGAGTCAGACACAGAAAACAACACAAATACACATCCGAGAGGTTCATTGGTGATCTGAAGGAAAATGTTAAAACTCAGGTTACCTTCTACAAAAAGAGCCATGGAGAGAGCAAGGCGGTCAACGCCAAGTGGCGCCTGTTTGGATTTGGTGCTAATGACCAATGCTATCCCTGAGATCCCAAAGAACAGATACATGGTGCTGTGCTGCCAGTTCATCAGCTTCACCCACGACTTGTTGTCTGTGTTTAACAGGTGGGCGTGTGGCCCATCCACCACAAACTGTTCCACCATAATACCTGTGACGGCAACATCAGACAAATGAGTCAAGGGCAGATTTGGAGGGTTTACACATGCAGACTGATTGAGGAGAAAAAAAACTGACCCACAAATGAAGCAAATATTTTGAATCCTCCCTCGATGTAGTCCATTTTTTTAAATAAAGGTGGCATGTTCTGTCTTCCGTTGGGCTGACTCTTCCTCCAGTTTTGTTGGAGAGTGTGTTTCACTGTCAGCCAAAAGCCATAAAACAGGAAAAACGTGCCGGGAATGGCATGTCCTCCAAAGTTGGCCATTGTTTCACCCTGCAAACATAAGAAATACACCAGAGCAATCAATAACGTACATTTGAGAGAATCTCAATGTTTTATTTTTGACCAAACACTTTTATTCCCGTGAATGTGACAGGAGTCAACTTTGAGGTGAAAGTGCAGGCTGATTATTTTATGGTGTTTAGAGCCATGTAATGATTACAAGAGGTCAAGTGACAGCTAAGAGAAAGGACAAGGGGAAACAAATGGCAGCTGGGAATAGAATGGCTGTGCCACTCACATATCACAAAGTGGCTGGCAACAGATGCTCAATAACCGAGCAAAATATACCATCATGCATTGCACTCGCAGTGGAGAGACAAGAGGAGAGAGGGCAGCGGGAATAACCACCTGTCGTACAAATGTAAATATGAGCAGAGCGACGCATCACAGAACAAACTGAGGCAAACAAGTTTATTTCACTGTGCTTTTCACCCTAATGTATTGATGCTAATGAAGTCTGCACACTGTCAGCTCCTCCAAAACAAAGGAGCTGATCATCAGTTTCAGGAAAAGAAAGAGGAACCTGCTCCCCTACACGTCAGTGGAGACGCAGTGAGAGTGACTAGCTTCAAAGTCCTGGGCACACATATCTCCCAGGTCCTCACGTGAACAGATAACACTATCTCAGGTGAAGAAGGCATAAAACAAAAAAAACTCTACTTTCTATGGACACTGAGGAGAGCCAAACTGTCTAAAGAACTGCTTGTGTCCTTCTATCACTGCACTGTGGAGAGCATACTCACCTTCAGCATCCTGGTATGCCAGCTGTTCTGTGGCTGACAAGAGTGCTCCAGAGAGTCATCAAATCAGCACAGACACAACCAGCTACCTTCACTCCAGGACATTTACAGAGCCTGCTGCCTATGACGAGCCACAAACATTTGGACTGGTGGACTTAGGGCAACATACTGTTCACAGAACTACACACTTCCTCACATAAATTGGTGGTTTTCATTTATATCCATCTCTGTTTTTTGCAAAAGTTTGTTATACAGCCGTGCAATGAAGACATTCTATTCTATAATAAAGTAGGGTCCAGTGAATGAGTGGGTGATTCATTGACAGCAGACATTTTGACATAAAAAAGTGGGTATAGATCGCTGAGGTATTCATGAGATGTCTGTAAATTGCTTGAATGTATTACCTATATGTACCAGGTATGATCCCATTATATCACACAACTTGTTCAGGATGAGTATTCTGTACTTTTGTCAAATGTATAAACTTAAATAGTTATGTTGCCAGATGAAAATATCACTTCAAGTTCAGTTCAGTGAGGTAAGTGGGCCCTCGCATTCAGATGATAGCAGCTCATTTGTCTTGCAAAACTGAGAGTCAGAGCCTGTGACCATCATGTCCCTTGTGTCCAAACAGACTGAGCAGACTGGCTAATAATCATTAGCAAAGTCAGTGTGCATCAATTGTCATGAAATAAACTTGTCTGTCCTCTCTGCTCACAGTTGTTAGAACATCTCAAAGATAGTTGGTGAAAAAGGAACTGTCACTCTGCACAACTACAAATAGGATTTACTTCAGTTTCAAAACCAACACAGTGAAAGTGGACCTTATCAGAGCACACTCAGGGGTGGGGTCCCAACTGAAGTTTCATTCAAATTATACCAGTAATTTACACTTAGCTTTGTTTTTTAACCTTAAGTATTTGAATAAAGAAACTTGTGTGAAGATATTAATATTACTTATTATTGGAGCAGTAGAACTTCCCTGATCAATGAATCATCACTTATAAATACAGCCCGAAGCAGAAAATATTAAAAACCATGAGCAAATTTCCCCATCGTGGGACTAGTAAAGGATTATCTTATTTTACTTTTCTATTCAAATTAAATTGTTTGGCTTGTAACTTACTCCTTGTATTTCATATATATTGAATATCTTATAATTGCTGCCCTACATTTTTTAATGAGCTCCTATGGGAATAAAGCGTCAAGTGCCAAGACTGCACTAAAGCATGCTGTTTTATCTCAGATGTAGAAACGCTGGTTTCAGTCATTCAAGTGTTAGTGATTCAAAAATTGAAAGTTATGCAATGTGACACTGAGACATTTATATACATGGATACATGGACGTAGTATAGTAACTTAAGTTTGAGGTTTGAGGTTTTATTTCTGTTCCGGTTTGTGGCTGATTGAGTTACGAATCTGACCAACAAGAGGAAGAGTTAACTTCCTCCTCTCGCCTTCAGTGACAGTGGGTGAGAGTCTCAGGTGTATTTTAGAATCTGCCCGCTTGGTCAAACAAGTTTTTCTTGACTACCCCTGTTGATGTCAGTACCTTTATATCACACACTGCATCTACATGTAGGCAAATCAACTGATACTAAATACCCAGTAAAAAAGACTGACCTTCCACAAATGTAATTTCCACATTTGAACCACAATCTTTACAATATCCTCTCCACAGATACTACATGTGAACCGATCCTTCGTTCCCTCAGTTACAGTGTAGTTAAAAAAAAGGTACGTACCTAATCAAACTCCCAAATGCTCTGGAGATCAGGTGAAATCCGTGAGTGTGTGCAGCTGTCACAGTGTGAACCATGCACACCTGTTTCCCGCACCTCAAACCTGTATTGACATCACAAGATGGCCCCACCCATAATTTACATTGGTTTCTGAAACCAAGGGGACGTCCATGCTTGGTAACGGCATCCAGGGAGAAAAACAATGTTGTTTATTCAGGGACAAATTAAAACATGGAAACGTGGAAAGTATATGTATTGCTTATGTAAACAACACATCTGTAATTTATTTTGCCTACTGATTGTGATATCTGAAAACGAGATAATATAAAACATTAATACCGAGATATGACCAAATATTTATTTATTACTATCGTGAATTGTTTAATTTTAGATTACGTTTAGAAACTATTTGGTGAAAACCTGGTTAATATCTAATCTGTGTGCACAAGGAGAGGCAGCAGCACATGCCTGTGTGTGAATGAACTTTGCTCCCATTTTATTGTCATCATAAAGTCAGTAAAGTCAGTCACCAAAGAACGACTTTAAATACAAAACTGTTAGTTTTTAAATCAAATTTTTTTTTTCTTTTCATCATTAAATTTGACACTGAATTCATGAAAGGAACCTTCATTATTTGTTTTGTTTGTCTTGTGAATACGAGGGTTATAGTATTACACAGAATAATTTCTTCTCTCTAAACGGGTTCTCAGAGGAAGGCACTGGTGTCACCAGGGGGTCCTCTTTGGCGTGGGCTTCACAGTAGGCCATCAGATCAGCTGCTGCTTTGGATACCTGCAGAGAAAGAGTTTGTATTAAAATGTGTAGGTGTATCAAAGAGGAGAGGATAGAAAAACTGACTTAAAGCACATCTGTTGTCCTTAGTTTGACATCTTTACTCTCGAAACATTTTAAATTAAAGGTGCTAATTCAACAATTGTGCTTGTATTGTTGGAATGTGTATGTTTGCTCTTACATAAGTGATCTGTAAAATATGTACTGCTTTTGAGAAGGTACAAGTATATGCATGAGAGTGAGAGTTTACTCCATATTAAAACACAAGATATTCATCAATCTGAAGTGATCTGTTAAATATTTAGATAATTTCATGGCTGTGGACCTCAGTCACTCACTGACTCACCATCATCCTCTCTATGTTCACCTCCAGTTTCAGCTGCTCTACAGTCTTTCGAGCATCTGCAATCTTAGCCATGTTGTTAGACATCCTGCCTCTTCCCACGAGAGTCAGCCAAGCCTGCGGCAAAACGTTAAGTTATCAGATAAGAAAAAATACAAACAAGATTACACAGTGTGTGTCACAGTACTGAAGGTATCTCTGTCACGGAGGTTATGTTTTCATTGCCGATTGTGTGTTTGTTACTGATTTTACTAAAACGTGATAGAAAGACGTGGTATGGGCCAAGAAAAAAAACATTCAAATTTGGGCCAGACAAATGGGCAGATACAGGATTTCTTTGACTTTCTTCGGGATAAAAAGATCAAGCACATACTTTTTTCCCTGTTTCCGCAAATAATTCTTTAGTCGTTTACTTTCTTTAACATTTAAATTTTTTTTACATTTTCACCAATTTCCCAGGGAGTAATTGATGGATTTATGGAACTGGGATCAATGAGCCTGTGCAATTTAGTTCAGTTTGATTGAATTAAAGGGAACTTTTGGCTCTGGCTGGAGGTATGTGCTTTACTGAGTGCTGTTCTATAGAGTCTGTTTCAATTTGCTTGTTAATTGTGCTCCCTGGGTCTCAGCTGCAAGTGGCACAGGGAGGGTCTCAAAGGAGTTCGGCAGGGGAGGGGAGGCAGCGCAGCCCGCCTCATGGGGGGTTATCCGCTTGCTGAGAATGTAAATACATTTAACATTGACTTGTGGCTCTTGCACAGTATGTTTGTCATAAATTGCAGAAGTAGAGCTGCTATTATTGCTTTATTTCCCCACAGTTATATTGTTGTAGATGCTGGAGAAGACTGAGATGACTCCTTAATCCACGTAGAGAGCAGTGAATGAACAGCATCATTCATCAATAACCAAAGATGCACATTTTTTATCATTTAGTTCTATCAATAAAAATACAAGAGTTCATACCTATGAAATATACTGCCACTATCATCACTCATGCAGATGGGCATTATCTGATTTAAGTGGTTTCCATGGATCTGCACAAAGAACTTTTACAGTTTCCCAAGATTTATCTTAACCGATCAAATTCACAATATCACTTACCACAAGACGGACGGCAACAGTTTGGGCTCCTGGAAAGAAAAGTCAGCGCGTCTCCAAATAGGCTCCTGCACACTAACTTACAGTAACAAATGAGAAGAGATTAATGGCAGAGATGAGGAGTGAGGCTTCAGGAGGTTCCCTCCTTCAAATAATTAGCTGTGGTTCTGCCCCCAGGATGGGCTCAGTGTGGCAGTTAAAGGCAACATGTGGTGTGACCTTCATCTCTTGAGCCTCCATCACTCGCTTACCTGAGATTATAGAAGAGCTCGTGATCGAAGATTAAATGTTAAACGTATATTTCTCTTAAAGGAGCAAAATAAATGTACAGCATTGATTTTTTTCCCCCTGGCAGCTATAACTACTTAGAAAGGCAGCAGACTATTAAGAAGAAGCTCTCAAGAGAATAAGGGAGGTTGTTCTTCATGACTACTGTTTGGAAACAAGCCTTAGACAAAAGGACTAATTTCATTTTAAGAGGATAAAATAATGCATTAGCTGCATTTAATACAAGCTTATGACTGTGTTTATTCTGCTCCACATCTGAATGTTAGAACCCAATTAAGTGTAATTAAAATGCTTGTACTAAAACAGCAGAAACACCTGTAGGTGTTTCTCAAACAATGTTAGATTGAGTATTTTGTGCATAATTAACCAAAATAGCATGCAATGATCCACAATTCTCAGGTAACATGACAGAGTCTTTTAATGGGTATGTGCAATATAAACAATGAGTTTTATCAACCTCAAACGACAAATACTTTGAGAATCTTTCCTACAACACGTACACAAGGACACAAGGAGTTTACAAGGTAAGCGACTGAGTTTTTGTCAGGGGTTACAGTTTCTGCAAACAACAGAATTATTTATCCCATGCACAAGGCTGCCAGTCTTTCCTGCAGGGCTGATAGTTATTTCACACAGCAGCAGGGGGCAAAGTGGCAGCGTTATGGAGTTAAATGTCAAGTGCCTCATTAACATTTGTTTCCCTGTAGTTACTGGTCTCTCCCTGTGAAAGAAACTGATACGAGTGGAAAGAGTTGCTGCTTTACTGAACCAACCTGTCACAGAGGGCCCAAAAATACAGAAGCTCTGCGTACTTGTAGCTCGCACAGATTCTGTTGTCCTTCTACAGCTACTTTCAGACTGAAATCAGGATACTTTCCTGAAATATTTCGAAGGGGCTGGATGTGAGGCCACAAATGTCTGAATCAGTTGCTCCAGACATTTTCTGGAACTTTTCCTGTCAGTACCTGAGGAAAATGTCCAGAAAATGTCAGAATTAGCTGTGAAAATTGACAGCAAGTGGACAAAAGCTAAATACAAATATTTTAGGATGAAAAGAAGAGCCACACATGTCGAGAAGATGCTGGTGATAAGGACCAATGCCAGGGACATTTTATACAACTCTAAACCTTTAAACACAACCTGCCAACAGCATATTGCTCCTTTTCTGTTCATGTCTTATAGATGCTGCATCATAGGATCACATATCAACACTAGCCTTAAGAAGGCTGCATCAGTTGACAAACATGGGTAAGACAACTTTCAACTGCTGCAAGATCAACAATCAAAGTATATATTTTAAAGATGGTGTATCGAGGTGTGGCCTAGCTCTTATTGTCTCCTGTCTCTTTATTTACTTTCCTATTTAATGCTCTACCTCTGCCAAAAAATATCCTACAGTCTTAGAACTGTGGACATTTCGCATTGCAATTACTGTCACCGAGGAATGAGGAAAGAAAAGTTCCGCATTCCACACAGTTTAAAACTAAACCCATCCCATTCAAGTCAAACTGTCTCAGAGCCCCTTGTTCTCGTAAATGTCTGGCTTGTTTTTGTCAAACTGCTTGTAAACCTGTTTTTCCTGTCTGTAACACCTGCTGCTCGAGGTGTCACATGAGCAGCATTCTCACTGGAAATATTTCTACCATCGTTTTGTGATCTGTGCAACCTGGGTGACCTGTAATTTCACAACAGCTGCTTTCAGACATGCACCGCAGCCTGGACATTGTCCTGACATTGTCTGGAGTGAGCCCTCATGACAATTTGGCAGATGATAGTTGATGATATTTTAAACACATGAAAAAGGGGGAATACAAACATCTCAGGAAGAAAAAGAAGGGCCATACACATGAAGGATGCAGAAGCATTTGTTTAAATTTTTTTCTGGTATATTGGTTCGAGAAAGGGTCGACAGGGCTCCTTTTCTGAAGAGCATGAATGCGCTGACCAAATTTTATGGAAATGGTGGCTGAGAGAGCTCAACACACTGCAAATTAAGAAAACACATGTAAATAGAAAAAACACATGCAAAATAAGAAAATATCTTCATCAATATGATGACACGTGCTGAAAAAAGTCAAAAATGCATGCAATTACAGAATTGCAAATTGCAAAAACGATACTGGAAATGTTTTCAGGGGAGCATCACCACATGGATGGATGGACCAACATGGCAATGCAGCTGAAAAAAAAAATCTATAATAAATCAATGCTGGCATTTCATTGAAAAAAGCAAAGAATTACCAAAATGTACTTAATGTTATTTAGCATTGAAAATACGACCTCCAAAAACAAGACTCCAAGGAAAGGTCAAAGTTGAATCAATGTTTCATTTAATATTCAGAAATGATGACTGTGATGGAATTTCAACATTGAATCAATGTCACCTTGTCATCTGGGATGTGAATGACTTATGACATGTTAATAAAGATGTGCATTGAATACATTTTAGTTTGGCAGTATAAATGAATTTCTAATACCTGTTGTATAAGATAATAATTTATAATGAATAATAATAATAATTCATAATTTATGTGCATGTGATATAATGATAATTATTACTTTAGTTGCCTGGTAAACAAGTGTGGTCAAGTTTCTCCGGTCCAGGCATCGTGTAGCCTCCATACTTTTTATCGTTTATGGTAAAAAAAAAAAAAAAAATTGATCTGTTGCTTTAATGTTTCCACGTGTATTATTATTATCATGAATTGAAATAATCATATTGACTGCTGAACAAACTCAGTGGATTAGGTTAAGATTATGTCCCAGGCCCCTCCGGGTTGTACCATCTTCGCTGTGGTGGTGGGCGTGTTCGAACAGCGGATCGCTTCAGTGATCTCGACATTAAACTCAGTTATTTCTCGACTGTCGAGGTTAACGCGAGATTCCTCCGACTGTCAACAAAGAAATCCCCGTGTAGCATTTAAGCTAGCTGCTCCATCCTCCAGTTTAAGACACGCAGAACGAGTGGGACTTTAACGCACAGCGGTGCTTCTGCGTGGAGAGAAAGAAAAAAAGCCTCCACTTCCCTCAACGTGACATTCACCGATGTCCACGTTTTCATGCCGGACCGTCGTTATCTGCTGGTCTGCGTCTGCACCGAGATGAATGGCATCATGTCGGGATGACAGGAAGATGGCAAACGGGGTTGGAAGTGAGTGTGCGGCGGGTGTCGGGTGCATGCTATCCGTTAGCGTCGGCCGGGAACGCCGCTAAACTTCCTGCGCGGCCGCCTCCTGGTTCTCCTGCAGGGGAGCAGGCGGCGATCAATGGCTGTCAGGACGAGTTGACACCTCTGTTTACACTCGTGTTAGCGGTTCTCCACCACGCTCCCCGTGTGCCGAAGACAATGAGGAGAGCTGGCATGGTGGAGGGCAGCTGTAGGTGCCAGAGTTCAGAGATTAACAATCCCGTAGATGCCCAGGATTAGCTGGCGAGTTATTCCACACGCGTGATGCACAGGCTTCGTGAAACCCCCTGTATTCAAAGTGTGTGTCGTTGTTGTGTCCATTTTTTTTCCACATCTGCAGAACACAAGCCGCATGTCATCGGACCAACGGAGCCATGGTCAGTGAGGGAGAAGCTGTGTTTGGCCACATCTGTCATGAAGAGCGGACACCAGAACTGGTACTGTTCCCAGATCAGTAGTTCTTTGTCTTGTGCAAAACCTTCTGTTTTGCATGCCTATGAGGTAGTCATAGGTGGTTTGAACATGAATAAACCTGTCAGGAGTCACATGCTGTATGGCAGTGTTTAGAGACAGGTAGATAGATAGTGGCTGACAAATACATTAATAATACCAACAATGAGAGTCACTGAATCAAGTGACTCACACAAAAATGAAAAAACACCAATAATGAAAAATCACTGGGTTAAAAACAGAATGAAGAGCAGACAAACAAATCACTAAGAAGCACCTGATCACAGATAGATAGATAGATAGATAGACAGGCAGATAGATAGATAGATATACAGATAGATAGACAGACAGGCAGATAGATAGATAGATATACAGATAGATAGATATACAGATAGATAGATAGACAGATAGATAGATAGATATACAGATAGATAGATATACAGACAGATATATATGCAGACAGATAGATAGATAGAAGATGCTTTTTTCATCCCTTTAGTGAAATCCAGCAGCTCACACAAAAATGAATAATACACTAATAATAAAAGTCACTGGGTTTAAAACAGAATCAAGCAGACAAAAAAATCACTACGAAGCTCCCTGATCATAGGTAGATAGATTTAATTATTTTGGGGGAGGACATACTAACCATAATGTTGCTTCATCCCTGCAGGCTTTAGTTTTGCATACTTGCATACATACATTTTTGCATGAATGCATAAATAAAATGCCCCCAAAAATAATAAAGTGTAAATGGACCGTGATTATATGGTGCTTTTATAGTTGCAGCGACCAATCAAAGTGCATTACACTACAAGTCACATTCACACACTGACAGTGCAGCCATCAAAGGCTGTTTGGGGTCTTCAGTGTCTTGCCCCAGAACACTTTGGCACGCAGAATGGAGGCGCTGAGGATCAAACCGGCCTTTTGGTTTGTGGACGACCTCCGCTACCTCCTGAGCCAAAGCCGCCATGACGGAATAGATTTAGAATCAAGAGGAACTGAGACAGAAAATAAAAATGATTTTACGACAGTTACTAGAGTGGCACTCACCAAAGATCTACCTCTGCCAAATGCCAATCGTCTCCTTAAATTAAACTGCACTAAATTGCACACACTCATAGATAGAGCAAATTGATAAAGAATGGGATAAAAAAATCTGTCCAGTAGTTTTTGCATAAACTTGCTTATAAACAATCAACAAACAGACGGACAGGGGTGAAAACATTACAGCCTCAGTGGAGGTAATAAAATAGGAAATAAATAATAGGATGTTGTGTATTAAATGTGGGTATCATCTCAGTTAATCATAAAAAATGTCTTCACCTCAACAGGGTATCTGTCAGTCGAGCCATCAAACCATTTGCAGAACCTGGGCGGCCACCTGACTGGTTCTCTCAGAAGGTACGACACAATCAGTATCCTATTCTGCTTTACAACGCGAAAAACAAACTCATGATCTTTGCAGGAAGTTTGCCACAGTATTATTATGTCCCGTCACAGAGCTAATCTTGTTCTCCTCACAGCACTGCGCCTCAAAGTACTCTGAGCTCCTGGAAGCAACAGACGCCCCAAAGTGAGCACACAAGTGACCTCGATCACGCTTTTGTAGACTTGCAAGCTTAAGTAGATGAGCTTTATACTGTTTGGCACATGCAGTATATGCCATAATCCAATGTTTTAAAGTAATAACAAATGTGTTAACTTCAGGAGGAAGCGTGGTGAGAAAGGTGAAGTGGTGGAGACGGTGGAGGATGTGATAGTGCGCAGGCTGACGACTGACAGGATCGCTGAACTAAAAAAGCTAATCAAAGAAACTCAGGAGAAGCACAGGTACGCAAGCATAGCTTTTAACAGCATGGATATGTCGCTGTCAAAACAATGAAATAGTGTTGAGTTATAAACTGCGTGACTGAGATGTGTGTTTTCACAGGAAGCTGAAGAGAGAGGCTGAGCTGATTCAAGCAGGACATCTAGATTCCAAACTAGAAGAGCTATGGGAGGAAATACGGCAGTAAGAAACAAAACTTTCAGTTTTATACGCAATAATACAGTTAATTTCCTTTCCTATCGGTGAAGCTTATACATTACACAGTCTAATAACAAGCTAAATTAAATGATCTTATGTGTGTCTGTCAGGAAGAAGAAAGTGGAGGAGGAAGACGCAGAGTTGAAAAGAAAAAACACAGATGCTGCTTATCAGGGTATCTCCTTCACGTTGAAGGGTATTTTTCTTCCAGAGAGGGGTTGTGTTGTTTCACTTCAGCTGTTCAGTCTTCAGTGTTGTGGCCTGTTTGCTTTAAAGGTCCAGTTTGTAAGATTTAGGTGAAAGGGATCTATTGACAGAAATTGAATAGAAAAAAATAATCCCAGTGATGTTTTCACTAGTGTGTTTCATCTAAATTGTACATATTGTTGTTTTCTTTACCTGAGGATTGCCCCTTTATATTTAAATCCTTTTATTTACATCTGGAGCGGGTCCTCTCTACGGAGGACGCCATGTTTTTTACATTTGTCCAAACTGGACTCAAAAACTAAACACCTTTTGAGTTTTCATGACGACTGAAGACTACCACACGTTCTCCTTCATGTTCGGAAGGGGAGGGTGAAGGGTCTTCAGCTGCAACATGAAACTTCACCACTAGATGTCGCTAAATTCTACACACTTAATATTTAAATCTAGGGTTCGTAATCCTGGAAGAGCAGCTACACTTGCAACCGATACATCCTGCCCCCTCCCATCTGTCCTCTCGTCAAAGCTACGCACATGAAGTTGCACTGCCGGACGACTGCCAACTTTTCCAGGACTCGCTCACTAACTCAGATTATCGTCTCTGCTTCAGTTGTGTTTGTCTTGCCGGCTTGTGAGGACTCCAGTTATGTGCAGTCAGAGCAGGGGCAGGCAGATTGGTCCGTGACAGAGAGCTACGCCGACCAGTCATTTCATTCAGTCCGAATGAAATGACTGGTTGCGTTTATTACAAACTAATTTCTTTATTGATGGCCTTATCAGAACGTGAAGAGGATTTTCAACAAATAAGATAAAAAGTGTGCACCTGCCCTACCTTTAAGCTTTATCTTTTATTTGGCCTCAGCCAAAAGCATATAAGATTTTAGAGGCGGAGGATTTTACTGTGTTATTGAAACATAGTGCAGATAATACAAACTGTACAGGAAAAAATAACTTTGGACTGAACATTTTCTCACTACACAAGTCAAAGAGTTGAACATTAGATTTTATGTAACTGATGAGAATCTTTTCTCCTCGCTGCGCCTCCCTCCTCCAGCCAGACAGGTGGCAAAGGGCACAACCAAGCGAGTGCCCGACGTGTATTCGCCCTCAGGCTGCGGCTCCCCAAGCCAGGAGTTCTCACCAGGTGACCCCCTCGAGAGCTTGACTCTGGATCTTGGATCTATTAAAAATGTGAGTCTCTGAAGGTTCAAGGGTAGTGAGGTTTTTTTTTTCTGCACCTCCTCTTGAGACATTTCAAAGCAAGAGTTTGTTGATGCTGGCTCATATTAGGGATTTCTGTCCTTTATTGTAACTTGGCAGCACTAAGACATTAGACTATAACTTTATCAATCATCATTCAGAAAAGGATCTAATATTCCTGACCATTCCCTCAGGGGAGGCAGAGACACATTACAGACTCTCACAGGTTGAGCGATAAAAACATTCTCGGGTCGATCTGTGAATAATAAATTCACTTTTCACTCTCCCTCTGTATCTAGGCTTCGGGATCGGCCAGGTTCATGACATTTTCAGAGTCTTCTGGACTTGGTATTGAAGACATCAACCAGGCGTCACTTCTGGACGACCTCACCCAAAAGAAACTCCTGTGCCAGAAAGCCACACCACCGCCGTCTCCACTCCTGTCAGAGTTACTGAAGAAAGGCAACATCTTGGCCTCTAATTCCAGACTGGTATGTTGAGAGGACTTAACGGGTGTCATTTGTAGTTACGGTGCATTTAGGATGCATTTAAACATATTGTCTTCCACTCTTCTTTGTGGTTTTGTTCAATGTAGTTTGTTTTTCCAGTTGTATTGAGATTAAAACGTATTTAATTCGGAACACATTATTGCTATTATTTTTGGGCTTTAACCAGCCAGTGATATTTAATATTTACTCATTCCACCCAATGTCGTGTCCTATATCCTAGTGTGATGTTGGAAACAACTCCTGCAGCTGTCTGGCTAGTTCGGAAATGCAGCTTTTGTAAACTACGGTCCAAAGTTGTGGAACAGACCGCCGCCATGAGAGAAACTGGTTCATCTTTAAAAGAAAACTTAAATCATTTCTCTTTATTTCAGCCTTTAACTATATCTTGCACTCACACTACTGCTTTCACTTCTTTTTTCAGTTTTTTGTCTTTATTTCCTTGTCTTTTGAATGTCATGTTCTTATGTCACTTAAAATATGTTCTCTTTATAAACATGTGTTTATTTTTGTTAACATGTTTTTATTTGTATCTATATTGTATGTAAAGCACTTAAAGCTGCATTTCTTGTATGAAAGGTGCTATACAAATAAACTTTATATTATCATTATAAGCTCAGCTGCCTATCGGCTGCCTCACTGCAGTGACCTCTTGTCACCACCTCCACAAGCCCCGTCCTATATTTTTCCCACTC